AGGGTTGTGAACATGTATGGGGTCACGGTATATGTAGAAATTATAATAAAGGCAGCCCGTGAGCCTTGTCTATACCAGAACATGCTGTATCTGCCATCAGCAAAGGGTGCAGCACCACAGTGTCAACAACTGGTTAGCGCTTGTGATACAAGGCTAAGTTTGTCACTATTTCAAGAAGACTTCATCCAAGACTTAATGTAGTGTTGAAAATGATTTGGTCCTGTCTACACTTGCATTTAAACCATTGTCAACATCAGTGCAGGTGCAGCTGCCCCCCTTTCTGACAATTCCTGAACAAGTATAGCATACAATGCTATAGACTTCACAAGAAATGATGAATCTGAGTTTGTGTCCGTCAATACTGTGCTTGTCAGCCTGGGTCAGGGATTAACTCTTGAGAATGTCAAGGATCATTTAGAAAAAAGGCATGGACAAATCCCCATGTACATAGGCTGATGAACTATCCAGGGATTATGCAACAACATGATGCTCCTCCAATCATGCTAGAACTTGGTTTGGTTTTACTTATGTACAGAGGACCAAGGTAAACCAGGGTGCTACTGTAAGCTCAGGCTGTGCATTAGTGAGGTTTGCCAATGTAGACACAACTTGTCATACTGCATTAAGGGTCAGTGATACCATTTTCTATCACAACCAGAAAGAACAATGTGTAATAGTGACCAGAGCATGGTTTTATAACAATATTGAAGCATAAGTCTTTAAAAGAAATCCAGGTCCACACTGGTCATGCTAGAACTATGCAGCAACAGCCTTGTTTTAACACAGTTCTTCCTAGTGTATTTTCAGAGTTTTAAACTACACTCTGGTGATAGCCTTAAAGTAAAGATGAGAGTGAACTGAAAACTGAATTAGGACTATAAAATGCATGTGTTGGGAGATGGGTTATTTTAAAGAAACTGCAGCATTTGAAGATCTGAACTCAAGATTTAATAATTTTCCCAATACATAATTCAAAGAATGATCCTGCAACAGCTGCAGTTTCAGTTATGTAAAGTACATTCCACAAGACCTGCCAACAAAACAGTGAGTAAGAAATGAAGGAAAATAAATTGTTGGACAAACCATTCTCCCTTGCTTCCCACTGGCAATATCGACAGGCATTCCACACTGAAGCATATCTGGTAGATTGCACGTGTCTCGATTTCAAGAGACTGAGCCTCAAGACATTGTTTGATTTTGGCTTGAATTCATCACCAGGGCAGGTGTGCATTTGCTAGTGATTTAATTATCCTCATCTCCTGCAGTTCTCCCAAGTGTGAAGAATGGTGATCTCAGTTTGAAAACTGAAACTGCAACAAGCAATCTATGGAAGTATGCCAATGTGCACAATTTACACCCAATGAAGATAAAGGTCCTATCTACACAACAGAAAAGAACCACGTTGCAGGACTTGGTTACACAATAATATCTGACAGTTACGTGCCCCGCAGCAGGCCAGGTACGCTACCAAATGCTAATTCACATCTGCGCACTACTACTATCAGCCAATCCCAGACATGCCATCTATCCATCATTTTGAATCACTGAAATGCACAGCACTGCACTGAATCTGTTCACTGAAACTCATCCTAATTTAGCGAATGGCCAATTTACCAATATGCTGATTAAGGGAAATAGACTGTATGCTATACTGTGGGTTGGAGAGTGCCTTACAGGCTCAGCCCATGCCAGGTAGATGAGTTGTGTGGAGGGGCCTCACTGCAGTGGAAACCCCAGAAGGAATGGTGGATGACTCTCACTGAATTCTTTCTGGAGCTCCCTGGGAGCGCAAACTCCAGTAAACACTATGCCATGCAGCGAAAGTGTACACTAAGGATGCCAGGTTAGCACCAGAGTGCAAAGGTGGGACCATTCTGCTCCTCCTCATCCTCTTTGGGGAGGCTAGTGATGGCACTAGCATAGAGCAGTGACTCCACTCCCCATCCACTTTGTGGTTACCCCATGAACTGGGCATGAGTGGGAGAAGCTCCTTGGACCCTCTCCCCTTGCACTTACAAACCTGTGCAGGGCCAGCCACAATCCAGCCCTGTACATACCTCAATAGTAAGACATAACAGAGGGAGTTAAGTGCACAGTATCACCTTAACCTGGAATTTCTTTGTTATTGTGGCTATTCTCTCTCTGTGCATTTTTAAAGACATAGTACTGCATGTAATGTGTGTGTGTTTAAATCTTATGAGCTAAGATTTCATAGGAATTTAATGCACTTTTGTTCATTTTTGCAAGTCTAACCGAAAAGAGAGATTCTCTTCCCTTATTTAAGTTGGAGCAGTTTGATAATATGTACATTGTGCTCTTATCATATTTTCTGTGGCTGAATTTCCCTGGCCTTCTGGAAGAATTTCCAACCCCTCTTGAATCACAATAACTGCTTGTAAACTACAGAAGTATTCATGTTATGTATTTCAATGGGGCTTTGTTGAAACTGGAGAGAGACTCTGCTGTATCCACGTTTATACAAATACTGTAAGAAGCAAAACATGTTTCCTTGAGTCAGGGCTGAGCTATCAGTAATTTTTTCAGGAATTTGGATTAGGCACAAACCACAACTGGCCTCTAACCCAGGATCTGTAAGGTAAATATTTAACAAAGGGAATTCTCCTTCTTTCTATCCTCTCCCTACATACAGTAAAACCTCATTAATTCACACTTACAAGTGGTATTAGTATATAAAAAGACAAAAGACAAGAAAGCAAGGATACTGCATCACAGAATTAACTTTGTTTACTGATTTGATTGTATTTGTAGTTTATATTTAATGACTTCTAATACTTCATATAATGTTAGTAGTATGAGATCACACTATACTATTCTGCTATTAAAGCACTGCTGAGAAATAGGGAGAGATTGCTGCATTGTCTATTCAAATTATGTGGTGTCTGTTTTAAACAAGTATCAAACAGCAAGGTTCAGCTGAATATGTAAGGGAGAAGGGATAGCCTTATGATTAAAGCACAGAACTAAGAGCGAAGGTATTCCTGCCTGTCACAAACTTCCTTTGTGACCTTGGTCTAGTCACTTAATCTACATCCCAGTTTTCCCATCTGTAAAACAGAAAGTTGTGCAGTTTGTTAGTATTGGTAAAGCACTTTAAGATTTTCTGATGGAAGGCATTATAGAAATATAAAGTCAATTGAAAATAGATTATAGTGTGATATGGAAGAAAGGCACTATTTACATGTGTTGAGGATAGCACACTCCTCTTGATCTTTCCCCTGAAAAAAACTATGGAGAGAAACTCCCTCCAAACAGGAATGATTCTTGAAATAAAACTGACACAACATAACCCCCTCTTCAAGTTCCTGTAAAAATGACTTGCCTAGTTCTTCTATCAATTGTAGTCACAAGTTTGACCCCATAATTCTGTAACAACCTATTTTAAATCCTATTTTGACCCTCTTCTAACTCTCTCCCTCACTCCCACCCCAAAACAAATTCCTTTGAAAGTCCTAGAGAATGTTTGTCAAACTATCTCCAACATCTCCCCTGTAGTAATGTATTGTCAGAGCTGATACTGCATGTCCATTGCATTGGATCAGTGGTTAATGTTCCTTTTTCCTCACCCTCCTGACAGACAAGTTCACACAAGTTTCTTCCAAACCACCTGGGGAAAGTGTATTTCTATCAACCCACCCCTGGGAATTTTGCTTTCTTTTTTTCTCTTTGTGGCTGTCATAAGTGCACAGAGGTCTCTTGACCAGATAGGTCAGATCAGCATCTGCAGCTTTATCATCATCCTTTCCTACCACACCACCCTTCACACTCTCTTCTCAGAGAGGAAACCCCACTCCCCCCACCACCACCACCCCGACTCCCACAGGAATCTCTAGCATCATCCCACAAGCAGCTCAAGGGGTACATTATGAGGCTCAGGATTCAGTACTTGTGAAAACCAGGACAAACACTGGGTCTTCTTAATACAACATTAAAAGGCACTTCCCCCTCCATAGCCTAGAGGGCCCTTCCCCGATGCAGCAGTTATTATTACACACCTCTGCCAGCACTGAAGAATTGGGGATGGGAACAAGCATGAAAGCCGTAAGGCATCTGATCTACTCTGCCCAACCCTTCATTGCTTGGGAGGGATTGGTCAGCAAGGTGATCCTGCACCACTAACTCTTGCACCAAGCAGCTTTCCAGGCTGGTGGAGTGAGGGGAGATTGCTTTCCAAACTCTATTCAGAAAAACTGAGTAAGTGAGATTGGGCAGCTGGGCTCCTTCCCTGAGCACAGAGGAAACTAGGTTCCAGGGGTTACATCTGTCAGCTCTTCAAACACCAAAGCAAGGGTGTGGGGAGGGCTGAGGGAAAACACCCAAAGATACAGGAGCATACATGTGCCCCTCTTCTCCAGCTCCCTATATTTTTTCCTACAAACAGTAATGTGATCACTGGGTCCTGGCTTGTCTTCCTGCCCCACAATACAACCTGAGCCACTTTAAAATATTCAGGGAAACATGGCTGAAAGTAACCGCCACCATCAGTTGCTTACTGGGTGTTAGTCTTTAACTAGAGGTCAAACAATATTATACTGCAAGCTTTGAGGAGACTACAAAGCGCTCCCTGTGGGCAGGGGCTGTGCAGGCGAGGTGCGGTCCTGAGTTCAAGTGTCACCTCGTGCCTACTCCCTAAAGAAGGGCCCGCACCCCACCACACCCAAACACCCTTAGACTCTGGGGGAGCTGAGATCCCGGTGGGCACTTTGCCAGCCGGGCCCACCTAGGCTTTTAAGCCTAAGCTAACCTGGCCCTTCTTGAGCTCAACCCCCAACCGCTGCGCTCCCCTCCCCTCGCAAAATCTCTCCGGGGTGGCGCCGCGCGGGCCACCGGCCGGGGAATGAAAGGCAGGGAGCTCCGGCGCGCACCTGTCCTGCTTCTCCAGGGCGGGCAGCCCGTGTGCCATGCCCCGGAGGCCGCTAACCCGCCCCCCCAGTGTGTCCAGCGCTCCGGCCGGGGATCCCCGCCGCAGCCAGGGGAGGTACCTGGATGGTGTGCCCCGCTGGGGAAGCGGCCGGTCCGCCCACCAGCTTGCAGTACAGCTCCGGCCGGGGCCTCCCGCCGCCGCTCTCCTCCTCCCCGCAGGTGGCCGTCGCCCGGATGCTGGCTGTCTCGGCCAGGTTGAAATAGGGCGGATGGAGGCTGAGCCCGAGCGCCCCGGAGTCGGGCGGCCCCACCTGGGCGGCCCCGGGGCGCAGGGTGAGGAAGAGGGGGAAGACCACGAGGAAGAGCCCGGCGCCCGGCGCCAGCGGTGAGGGAGCTGCGCGGCTGCCCTGCAGCGCCGCCGCTGCCGCCATGCTCAGCTGGGTCCCCCGCCCCCGGCTCCTGCCCGCGGTTGTCCCTGGCGCTGATGGGGGGCAGCCGGAGGTGAGAGGCTCCCTGCGCTCTGCCTGCGCCTCCGCTGTGCGCGGCCCGCCCCGAGGAGCAGGGGAGAGAACACCCCCCTCTGGCGCACAGAGCGAGACGCGCAGGAGGGCTCCTGGCGGGGAATGAGGCGTGAGGCATGCAGGAAATATTTGGGTCCTGAGGACTACGAAATTGGGGGGCGGGGAGGGGAGGCTGGCAGCCCTCTTCTGCCGGACCAACAGATGGTGTCTGGGAATCTGGCTCCCAATCCACAGAGCGTTGGGGAGGGGGGTTCTGGCTGGGTCCATTAGAGGCCTGGTTTTCAAACTTTTTTTCTGGCGACCCAGTTGAAGACAATTGTTGATGCCCGCGACCCAAGGGAGCTGGGGATGAGGGGTTCGGGGTGTGGGAGGGGCTCAGGGCTGGAGCAAAGGGTTGGGGTGCGAGGATGAGGGCTGCAGGGTGGGGACAGGAATGAGGGGTTCAGGGTGTGGGAGAGGGCTCAGGGCTGGGGCAGGGGGTTAGGGTGCGGTAGGGGGTCAGGGCTCTGAGCTGGGGGTGCAGGCTCTGGGGTGGGGCCAGGGATGAGGGGTTTGGGGTGCAGGAGGGAGCTCTGGGTTTGGGGGGGGGGCTCAGGGCTGGAGCAGAGGGTTGGGGTGTGGGAGGGGGTCAGGGCTCTGGGCTGGGAGTGCAGGCTCCGGGGTGGGGCCGGGGATGAGGGGTTTAGGGTGCAGGAAGGGGCTCTGGGCTGGGACAGGGGATTGAGGCATGGGCTTACCTCAGGCAGCTCCCAGTCAGTGGCGCAGAGGGAGTGCTAAGGCTGGCTTCCTGCCTGTCCTGGCACCACGGGCTGCGCTGCACCCCAGAAGCGGCCAGCAGCAGGTCCAGCTCCTAGGCAGAGGTGCACGGCTCTCACCCACAGGCCTCACGCCCCAGCCCCCATTGGCTGGGAACCGGCCAATGGGAGTGCGGAGCCAGTGCTCGCGGTGGGGGCAGCGTGTGGGACCCCATGGCCCCCCCACTCCCGCCTAGGAGGTGGACATGCTGTTGGCCGCTTCCGGAGCGCAGTGCGGTGTCAGAACAGGTAAGGACTAGCCTGCCTTAGCTGGGCAGCACTGCCGATGGGACTTTTAATGGCCAGGTCAGTGGTGCTGACCAGAGCTGCTGTGACCCAGTGCCTTACATTCCACAACCCAGTACTGGGTCACAACCTGCAGTTTGAAAACTACTGCATTATAAAGATAGTCCCAAGTCACAAAACTCACACCCAGATCTGGATCCAAATCTAAACTTCTGCAAAGTTCATGGGTGTTTGGCGTCACCATTCTTGTTCAGCCCAGTGCAGAGATGGGCCTAGAGTGACCAGATGTCCCGATTTTATAGGGACAGTCCTGATATTTGGGGCTTTGGCTTATATAGGCGCCTATTACCCCCCGCCACCCTCTTTCCCAATTTTTCACACTTGCTGTCTGGTCACCCTAGATGGGCCTGAGTCACAACGTTCAGATCCAGGTTTCTATTCCTTTTATTCTTTATAAAGAAAATAAGAATGGCCATAGTGGGTCAGAACAATAGTCCGTCTAGCCCAGCATCCTGTCTTCCAACAGTTGCTAATGCCAGATGCTTCAAAGGGAGTGAACAGAACAGGGCAATTATCAAGTGATCTGTCCCTGGTCTTCCAGTCCCAGCTTCTGGCAGTCAGTGGTTTAGGGAAACCCAAAGCATGGGGCTGCATCCGTGACCATCTTGGTTAATAGCCATTGATGGACCTATCTTCCATGAACTTATCTAATTCTTTTTTAAACCCAGTTATACTTTTGACCTTCACAACATCTTGTGGAAATGAGTTCTACCAGTTGACCTATGCATTGTGTGAAGAAGTACTTCCTTGTGTTTGTTTTAAACCTGTTGCCTATTAATTTTATTGGGTAACCCCTGGTTTATGTTATGTGACAGGGTAAATAATATTTCCCCATACCATTCATGATTTTATATACTGCTGTCATGTTCCCCCTTAGTCATCTCTTTTCTCACCTGGACAGCTCCGTCTTTTTATTCTCTCCTCATATGCAAGCTGTTCCATACATTGAATCATTTTTGTTCCCCTTCCCTTTTCCAATGCTAATATATCTTTTTTGATAAGGGGTGACAAGAAGTGCATCCAGCATTCGAGGTGTGGATGTACCAGGGATTTATATAGTGGCATCATGATATTTTTCTGTCTTCTTACCTATCCTTTGCCTAATGGTTCCTAACATTAGTTTTTTGACTGTTGCTGCACATTGAAGCAATGTTTTCAGAGAACTATCCACAGTGACTCCAAGATCTCTTGCTTGAGTGGTAGCAGCTAATTTAGAACCCATCATTTTGTATGTATAGTTGGGAGTATGTTTTCCAATGTGTAGTACTTTACACATATCAACATTGAATTTCATCTGACATTTTGTTGCCCAGTCACCTGTTTTGTGATATCCCTTTAACTCTTTGCAGTCAGCGTTGGACTTAACTATCTTGAATAATTTAGTATTGTTTGCAAACTTTGCCACCTCACTGTTTACCCCCTTTTCTAGATCATTTATCATAGAATCATAGAACTGGAAGGGACCTCGAGAGGATATCTAGTCCAGTCCCCTGCACTCAAGGCAGGACTAAGTATTATCTAGACCATCCCTGACAGGTGTTTGTCCAACCTGCTCTTAAAACCCCCAATGATGGAGATTCCACAACCTCCCTAGGCAATTTATTCCAGTGCTTAACCACTCTGACAGTTAGGAAGCTTTTCCTAATGTGCAACCTAAACTGCCCTCGCTGCAATTTAAGCCCATTGCTTCAATTGTCTCCCTCCTCCTTGTAACAACCTTTTATGCACTTGAAAACTGTTATCATGTCTGCTCTCAGTCTTCTCTTCTCCAGACTAAACAAACCCAATTTTTTCAATCTTCCCTCATAGGTCATGTTTTCTAGACCTTTAATCATTTTTGTTGCTCTTCTATGGACTTTCTCCAATTTGTCCACATCTTTCCTGAAATGTGGCGCCCAGAACTGGACACAATACTCCAGTTGAGGCCTAATCTGCTCGGAGTAGAGCAGAAGAATTACTTCTTGTGTCTTGCTTACAATACTCCTGCTAATACATCCCAGAATTATGTTTGCTTTTTTTGCAACAGTGTTACACTGTTGACTCATATTTAGCTTGTGATCCACTATGACCCCCAGATCCCTTTCCACAGTACTCCTTCCTAGGTAGTCATTTCCCATTTTGTATGTGTGCAACTGATTGTTCCTTCCTAAGTGGAGTACTTTGCATTTGTCCTTATTGAATGTCATCCTATTTATTTCAGGCCATTTCTCCAGTTTGTCCAGATCATTTTGAATTTTAATCCTATCCTCAAAAGCACTTGCAACCCCTCCAAAGCACTTGCAACCCCACCCAGCTTGGTATCGTCTGCAAACTTTACAATGTACTCTCTATGCCATTATCTAAATCATTGATGAAGATATTGAACAGAACCAGACCCAGAACTGATCCCTGCGGGACACCACTCATTATGCCCTTCCAGCATGACTGTGAACCACTGATAACTACTCTCTGGGAACAATTTTCCAACCAGTTATGCACCCACCTTATAGTAGCTCCATCTAGGTTGTAGTTCCCTATTTTGTTTATGAGAAGGTCATGTGAGACAGTATCAAAAGCCTTACCAAAGTCAAGTCACATCTACCTCTTCCCCCCTATCTACAAGGCTTGTTACCCTGTCAAAGAAAGCTATTGGGTTGGTTTGACACAATTTGTTCTTGACAAATCCATGCTGACTGTTATCACCTTATTATCTTCTAGGTGTTTGCAAATTGATTGCTTAATTATTTGCTCCATTAACTTTCCCTGTAGAGAAGTTAAGCTGACGGGTCTATAATTCCCCGAGTTGTCCTTATTTCCCTTTTTATAGATGGGCACTATATTTGTACCCACTAATACAAATAGAAATCTAAAGGTATCTGACCTTGGTGGCCTTAACATGCATAGCCACCACCTACCAACACCATCCTACTGGAGTTGCCTTGCATCAGTTCACATCCTGAGTTTGGAGGTGGCAGTAGAAAGCGTGGAGCCAAGAAGTAAATACAAATTTAAAACTGAATTTAATAAAATCTGGACTGAGCTTGTACTTGGTGAAAAGTAGGTGCTCGGGGCTTCCATGGAACCCCACCACAAAGTTATTGAGAAGGATGTCAAGTGACAAGACCATAAAGAAACACCTGATTAAAAGAATTACATAGTCATGGCAAACTCTTTTTGATACTGTGGGCTGGGTGCTTTGTCTATCAGTTTTTTGTAAGATGTTGTCCCTGTGCATCGTCTGGCGTGCAAGGAAATAGTTTCTCCCTTTAACTGAGAAGTGTGTTTGCTTACTGTGATCTTCTGCACAAAAATTTTGGAGGAATTCATTTACTTTTTAACTTTTAGGGTAACTTGCAGAGTCCTACAAATGTGATTCCAGTGACAGGTTTGTTGATTTTAAAGACAAAAGGCTCTTTCATGTCAGAATCTGAAATTGTTGCAAACAGACCCTGAAGAAATATGTGATTCCCTGTTATCTTCTTTAAGATGACCAAGGGAGCAAACATGCACTGGTAGCTCCTGAAGAAATACAGTAGAAGTCCCATGCTGCCTTGAAGCAATCTCAACTCAGAACTGTAAGCCACTGCAGAAGAGACAGCGGAACATCAGCTTATGGGTTGAGGAGGGAACCTTCTGACCCCTTTCTAGGGGCATGTCTTGTGGGCTGATAGCCAGGCCTACACTGTGCCTTTGGAGAGGCAGGGATGTGGTAGAAAGTGACCCAGGGAGTAGGCTGGATGGTAATCTTGTCCAGGTTGCACACCTGAACTGCCTGCCCAGGGCCTTCGGTTGAAACCTGGTGGAGCAGGAGGGCCTGGATTCCCCTACTGCCAACCCCTGCATTTGAGCCACTAAGTGCCACTGCTAATCCTGGATTTAGGCCACTAGTTGCTATTGCTAGCCAGTGCTCTGACCACTACAGGATGTGGTTTCGGGAGATGGTCCCCCATCTCAGGGAGTCAGCATGCATG